GGGCGGGCGGCTCCGTCCGCGCGTGGAGCTGAAAGTGGGTGCTGTCCCCTCCCGTGACTCTGTGCTTCTGCCCCCGGCTGTAGGGCAGCAGTGAGGACATCGAGGATGTGTCTCTCTTTGATGCGGATGACGACGTGTCCAGGAGATCGAAAAAGTCCAAAATCAGGTCAGTGGCCGTAGAGAGTTTCTAGATGAGTTCTAGGCAGACGCGTGAGGAAGGGAGGACTGCCACGTGACAGCAAAATATATGATGGCAAATACCTGCTTTATTTATTTGGAAGCCACGGAGAGTTATTTATTGAGAGCGCCAGTTCCAGAAGCTCACCTGGAACTTGTAGATCTGTGCCTTCCCACCTCTGGTGAGGCCGCGCCTCGAGCACTGTGTTCAGTTTTGGGCCCCTTACTACAAGAAGGACATTGAGGTGCTGGAGCGTGTCCAGAGCAGGGCAGCGAGGCTGGGGAGGGGTCTGGGGAACAAGTCTGATGGGGAGCGGCTGAGGGAGCTGGGGCTGTTCAGTCTGGAGAAGAGGAGGCTGAGGGGGGACTTTATCGCTCTCTACAACTGCCTGACAGGAGGGTGCAGTGAGGGGGTGTTGGTCTCTTCTCCCAGGTAACCAGCGACAGGACGAGAGGCGATGGCCTCAAGTTGCGTCAGGAGAGGTTTAGGTTGGATATTAGGAAAAATTTCTCTACTGAAAGAGTGGTCAAACATTGGACCAGGCTGCCCAGGGCAGTGGTGGAGTCCCCATTGCTGGAGGTGTTCAAAAACCGTGTGGATGCGGCACTTTGGGACATGGTTTATCAGGCATGGTGTTGTTGGGTTGATGGCTGGACTTGATCTTAGAGGTCTTTTCCAACCGTAATGGTTCTATGATTCTATGATTTGTGTTCTTGTGTGTAAGGGATCTACACAGGAGGATCTCCCCGTGTGGAGTGCTGGTTCAGGGCTAGTCCGTTATCTCTTCCCCAGTCTGTGTTCTCGAGCGTGTGTGGTGCTGCCTGGCTGTATGCTGTGTCCTGGCGTAGCTCGTCCAGCTGCCTCCTTCCCTGTTCTGCCCAGACCTCTGCTGCAGAGCAGCATCTGGCCGCAGGTGCTATGGTGACCACAGCTCTGTACTGCACCTTTCTGACCTGGAAACTGCAGAAGTCAGAAATAAGGGCAAGCCTGCCATGTTGAGAAATGTGATTTTTTCATTCATCTTGTTGTGGTCTTTCGTCTGTCAGAACCTTTTTAAATTTACCCCATTAAAATTGCCTTGCATTGAACAGTAGGCAAAATTCCTTGTCCCCTTCCACCCCAAGTTCTGTCTTCACGTGCTATATGGCTGCTTGTAGAATGTGGCTTCCCTAGGATGAGCTTCTAGTCAGTTTATCTCCCATATTTTCAGCAGTCATTGCATAGTGGGTTCACGTTATGATACTGATCCTTATGCTGTGGCTTGGTGGGAGATTGCCCTGGCAATGTAATTTCTCTGAAATGGCTTCGGTCTTGTTGGAAAGAGCTGTGACTGTGCTGTGCTTCCTTCCAGGCATCCAGTGGCATCATTTTTCCACTTATTCTTCCGAGTCAGTGCGATCGTTGTCTATCTGCTCTGTGAGCTCTTGACTAGCAGCTTTATTGCCTGCATGGTGACAATTATCCTCCTCTTGTCATGCGACTTTTGGGCTGTAAAGGTAAGTTCCTCTTACGCTTTTTGTTATCTTTGTCTTACTGTATGAGAATAATTGAACAGTGATATTCGTGTCACAAAACCAGTAACTTCTTTGTGCCCTTCCCACAAAATGATAGCCAAAATACCCTTGAGTACTGTGATGTATTGCAAAGCGTTAAAAAATAATAACATTTAAATCTCTGTGTACCTGACTTCTTTTTGAAAATCAAACGGAGAACAGATATTAGGCTTTCTTCTAAGGTAGCGCAGGCTTTGTTGTTAGATCACTTTCGAATCACAGGAAATATGCCTTTCTTTTTATTACTAGGGTAATTTGTTATTGTACTGGACATTTTGGAAAATAGATTGTTGCGGACATAAAAGCCATGTAATCTTGTTTTCCCAAGTGTGTTGCAAATGAGCAGCATTGAAAATAGCAATCGAAACAGCTGAACTGTGGCAAATGGTTCCTTTTAGGAGAAAGTTTAAAGCTTGCTGCTTTTCTTCTGTTCCAGAATGTCACAGGGCGCCTGATGGTTGGCCTTCGCTGGTGGAACCAGGTGGATGATGACGGTAGAAGTCACTGGGTATTTGAAGCCAGGAAGGTAAATTTCTTTTTTTTTTTTTTCCTTTCTTTTTTTCTTGTAATTGTTTCTGTTTTATGAAACCCTTATTAATTGGGGGTTATGCTTGTGATGGTGGATTGTACAATGCAGACCTTTACTTCCAGCCACAGATCTGTAGCCACGGGGTTGTTTCATGTAGGCTGCTGAATGAGATTTTTGGTGGTTGAATTATTTAAGAATTCTCATGATCTATCGATCTGGCTGAATGTAAGAAAGAACCTGCAAGTTCCACATAAAATGCAGTGAAGGTTCCCATGTCATGTCAGTAACCTGCAAGTTTTCTGGTGTGAACTTGGAACAGCTGACGTAGGTTTTACCTCCTGTAGAAAACTATTGGAAGTAGGAAGAAACATGGAGCGTTCATCGTGGCTGTTGCTTTGCCTTTGTGTTCACGATGGCTGCTGCCGCCTCTCTTGTATCCCGTCTGTCAGGCACTTCATAACATGTCACGCATTTACCCTTTTGATCCCTGTCTCTCGTCTCTGTTTGTATGGAGCTGATGGCACGCAGATCTGGCGTGAGGTAGAGATCATTTCTGAGATCATGTGGGAGATCTGCAGTGCTGTAGGGGCTTGAACCTAAACCTTGCTCCTGCGGAGTTTGTACACTCACTACAGGCATGTTCTTTCTCAAAACTGCTAGTTTAGAAAAGCTAGAACATACTGGGGGAGGGGGGTAAAGGTGGCTGAGCTGATGGTCATGCTGTAAATTTACCCTTAAGCTGTTAACCCAATTCAGATTTTTTAACTGTTCTAGGAAGAAGTGAGTGCTTGCATGAGATCTTCTGCTCCATAAAGACTTTATAAAATCCCTAGTGTGGTGTGAATCGGACCTCTGTGTGTGTAAAGAGAGTACTTTGGTGCTTAAGAGTATCAATATTTACTTCTGCCAGTGCTACGATGAGTGAAATTCTGGTTGTCTGTGCAGTGATTTGCAGGTGGAAAACATTACCTGTTTAGCTGTTTCTAAGCTTTGTAACTGAACCGTGCAGTAGAAGTCGTGTTTCCCAAACTTAACTGTTTAGCCCCAAGCGTTCCAAGAGGATTTGATGCTGCTACCTCACTGTTTCTAACAGAAGATTGACAAAAGGGTCCCTTAAATAGAAACATCTTCTGTTGCAGAAAGATCTTTTTGTGATGTAGAATTTGATCTTGAAAGCACCGGTACTGTTTCATGGAGGCAAAAAACAGGGGGCTTGTAGAGTCCGGCCTGTTTTTAATGACGATGGGGTCTATACAATGGAGCAGCCTGTTAATCTCCATTTCCTTTCTGTTTCTAGGTATCAGCACAAGGGAGTAAAACCTCATCAGAAGCAGAGTCCCGGATTTTCTGGTTAGGTCTAATTACCTGCCCAATGATCTGGGTGATATTTGCTTTCAGCGCGCTCTTTTCTTTCAAAGTGAAATGGCTGGTGAGTTGACTCCCTCCACTCAGTAACAGATCTTGCACGTTAGGAGTAAGGTGGTGTAAATTGGTGACTTTCCTTTTCTGTGTCCTAGGCAGTGGTTGTGATGGGAGTGGTGCTTCAGGGAGCCAACCTTTATGGTTATATCAGGTGTAAAGTCGGCAGTAGAAAGAACCTGACAAGCATGGCGACCAACTATCTTGGAAGGCAGTTCTTGCGGCAGGTAAGATTTCCAGGGTTTTGGAAGCCTTCCAGTTATGTCTTTCTGTCCATATACTCACTTCCTGCCTAGGCATGAAAGGAAAGACTGAAGAAGTTGTTATTTAGAGTTCCGCAGTGGGACCCTTTGCACCTTACTTCCTTGTGAATTTGAGCCCTCTTAGTTAAGTCACAGAGTGAGTTGCTAATTATTGACATCAAGTTCCATTTGCAGTGTCTCGTGAGCTTGTATGATTTGCTGGTGCCGTGGACGGGTGCCATGGCAGTTAAGGGACTGTGTCTGGTGTGTCGGAAATAGGGAACACGGTGAAAACGGTGACAGAGTGAAGTGGTTTTTGATAAACTACTGCTCTTGGACAACATGTTGCAAAATTACTCCTTTCATTGCACTCTTGGTCTTCAGGTTGTGCTAGCCACGAAACTGTGTATCTGGAGGGATGTTGCATCGGTCCTTGGGCTTCAGTGCACAGCTGCTGTGTGCATAGCTCTTAGCTGAAAGGGCTGCCACTGCCTTTATATTCTTTCTTCCAAAACCAGCTCTGCTCAACAGGTCCTTTTCTGCCCCAGCGCTGGGTTCTCTTCCTTCCACGGGTCCCTGCAGCAGCAGGCACCGCCACCCCCTCTTCCACTTCTAGGCTGCCATTAAAATTCTGCTTTCCCTGGCCGTGGCGGGCTGTATGAGGCTGGCGACTCTGGGGACGGGTGGTTTGGCTGCCGCAGGCTCACAAAGCTTTGCTGGAATGATTGTTATTACTGTGATCAGAAGCTCAAACACTGATAAACCATTCTTGGCAATCTGTGTGGGGATTGTCCTCTTCCGTAGCTCGATTTCCTTCTGAATGCTTTTACCACTGCAGTGGTTAACCAAAGGCCCAGACAAGTCTCAGTCTCTGGCAGAAATGGACGTCTTGCCCCCGAATCATGGCAATGAGTCACATAGTTCTCCTGTACACCTTCTCTTCTTTTTTTCTTTTTTGCCTTCTGCAGACTCTGGCTAAAGAGGACCAGACAGCATCGTGAGTGTGGTGGAAGCCTCAAGCCAGACGGGATTCACGGTGGTGAACAACAGAGATGTTGTTCTGACCATGAGATTTGGGAGCTGCCTACGTGAGGTGTGAATTAAAAGCAGTAAATAAATTGTGCAAGACTTCAGGTTGACACTCCTAGCAACTTATATTCGATTTTCCACTAGCAGTTTGTGCTTAAGTCCTTTCTTTAGTTTAATTAATTAGAGTTAATTTGCCTAAACTTTAAATGAAGATATTTCCTAGGTGGCTCTCGTCCAGGTTTAGAACTACTGGATGAATGAAGAGAAAAATGCTGGACATCCTTCTTCAGACAAACGCAAGCCGAGCCTTCTGTTACCCGAGAGCTCCCCCAGCAGTTGGTGCCTCGGGTGGCTTCAGTTGCGGATGCTGCTGCGATTTGTTCTTGGAGGTGGTTGCTGCTTCTGTTCTGAGGTTTAGGTAGCGCTCTTTTGGCTCCGCGTCTCTCGCTCTGCGGTCTGAACGGCGCAGGTGAGGGACGTCTACAGGAAACGTTGCTGTTGGCTTAGGGGGAAGTCTGGTGGAAACTGCCGAAAGTGACTTCTGAGCAGCTCTGGTCTTTTATTTGTCTGAAGCATTCGTGGAGGTCTCAGTGATGTCTTAAACCCCTGGATTTGGGGGAAGTCCCTCCTCCACCTGCAGGCCTGCCTGTATGGCGACCGCAGCAAGAGTGAAACCGGTACGTGAGTCGGGTGGCAGGCACCATGTCAGAGGCAGAGTGAATCTCGGAGCCGTCGTTGTCTGGTGAATGCCATTAGAGTGATGCTGTATGGTGTCGCGTCGGCGCTGTGCCGTAGCGTGCGTTGGGTGCCGTGGGTCGTCTTCTCTGGCCGGGAGGGCGCAGGGTGATGTGAGCTGCGGTTTCCTCACCAGCCCCTGGGCACAGCGTCGCAGGGAACGGAAGAAGCGGGGAGATTGCATTTCCTGAATCCAGGCAGTGTGCTGTCCTCAAACCGTGCTCCCCAAGGAGCCTGTGGGCTGGCAAAAAGCCTTTTGTAGGATCGTGGCATGTTGGCTTGCAGTGTTCACTTAGATGGCGGGAGGTGCTGTTTTGTGTGAAAAGCTGTATGAAAGGGGTCAGTTCCTTCTTGTCATGTGATTCTGTTCAAGGCAGCTTGTGCTTTCGCAGCAGCGGATATTGTACACTTCGGATGAGGGATTTTAAATTAAGAGTGGTTTCCTTTTGAATAATAGGTATTGTAAATTGTGGGATTGCATCAACACGATTTCTCTCCCTGTACTGCAGCATTACTTGGGAGCTGTACATTTAACTCTTTGGATTGATACATTCCTTTTGTAAATATGTATTTATAAAATCTTGAAATTAAAATAATGCTTTGTTTAACCAGACCAGATAGCTCTTCTATGATTCATGGCTGAGCTCTATTTATACTCTGTATTCTTGTAATATAGTTTTAACAGGGGTTACTTGTCGAGTTGAACGGTGCTGTTCAGTGAGCTCTGGCACAGTTCCTTTCAGCCAGCAGTCTTGGACAGTTTTCCGTGTGCAAACACTTTCTTCATAAGCGTGCTGGATTCGTTATCATGCAGAGCTGAAGTAATTGTCGCTCCGCAAGGCTTGGCTTGGCTGGCGTGGCTGAGAGGCTCCTGCTGCGGGCACTCGGAGGGCCCCGCTGCCCAGGCCCGTGGCTCGCTCCTGGCAGCGTGAGCAGGAACGTCTGGTCCCTGCTTAATTGGAGGGGATGATTTGTTTCTAAGGAGTGAGTGCAAACAGGCCAAATGAAGTCAGACACCAAAGCAAAGGTGCTTCTGAGCCATGCGGGGACGTGCAAGCGCAGCGTCTAGCCCGTGCGGCGCGATGGATCGGAGATCTTCCTGCTCCAGGCCAGCAAGCCCCCAGCTCACCGCTGCTGTCGGAGGGACAGCACCGACTCCAGTACAGCTCCAGCTGCAAGGTAGTTGTTCTAAAATGTGTTGAAAGTTTTGGACGTAATGTTTATTCTCTTGCTGCCAAAGCTCCCCCATAACTGCTGGAAAATAGTGCTTTTCTGGAAGCTGCAGTTTATTTAATCAAGGTCAGAAGCATTTATTAGTATGCACCTTTAAATATAGTCCTCTCTGCCAAGAGGCTAAAAATAAGCCAAACATTCAGTCTTTTGGTTTCAGAGATGCTGGCATTTTATTGCGTTTCTCCACGGCGTGGATCCGAACCAAATTTCTTATTGTCCCGCTGGGGGGGAATTTTGTTTTTTTTTTTTTTTTTTTTTTTTTTTTTTTCTCTGCTGGGGTTTCCTGTGAAGCAGGAAGTGGGAGTTGGTGCAGAGTGGGGAATTTCTTTGAATGTGCTTTTTTTGACAAGCCTTGGGAATCCGCGCTACGCCAGCTTCTTGAGAGCGAGCTGTGTGATGGTGGCCCCACCCTGGACCTCCAGGCCTGGGTGGTGGCTGAACTTCCAGGGTTTAGAGAAGCAGAAATACTCCAAGAGCAATAATAATAAAATGCTGTTTGCTCTGAAATAGCAAAGTATGCCTCGGATGTGGCAAGCAGAGCTGAAAGTTGGGCGTGAAATCATCCTCATTTTACAGGCAGAGCTGTTTTGAGTCCTTGGAGCGCCATGTCTCAGGCCAGCAGCATGGTTGCCCACAGAGCTGGGGACCAGACGGGCGCTGAGGGACATTTGCTGTTGGCTTTGGGGTGCATGGGGCCTCACCCTTCCCATTCATCCTAGAGATGAGCTGCTCCGTCGCTCTTTGAGCGCAGCGGGGACCTGTCCCCTGCTGCTGCCGCGGACCAGCCTTGGTTTGTCCTCACGCGCCGTGGCACTGCGCTGTGCAGCAGGCCGGGTGCTCGAGTCCTCGGACGGCGGCTGATTTCAGCAGCAACGCCGCTTCTGACCCCGTGCTTCGACACTGCGTCTGGATATCCTCAAAACTCAAAAGCTTTCGGGCCAGTTTTGCCCTGTTTGATGCATCTCCCCCTCCCTCTGTGCTACCCCCTGTCCCGGGGGGAGCGGCGGGGGAGGGTGCGGGAGGGATGCTGAGAGCACACGGGCAGCCTGGCCACGGGTGCTTGGAGCCTGCCTGTCTGTTCCTCCAGAGCTTCCCTGGAGACTTGCCAGGCCTGGAGGGCTGCAGGGAAAGGTCTGTTGTAGCGGCCTGGCAGAGGCCACGGTCAGCCCTGCTCATGCGGGACGGGACAGCCCGGTTGGTTTTTCCTAAACAAAAAGCTGCAGTGACTCATGGGGAGTGACCCTTGGGGAGACCACGGGGAGGAGGGTGGATGTTGGCCAGACCCAGCGTCACTTCCCGGGCTCCTGGCAGGAAGGAATTTCTTGCTTCCCTCCTGCCTTCCCGTGCAAACAGCACAAATTTGGGAGCAGGGGTCTCTTCCCACCCTGCAAACCCACAGCGAACCGAGGGCCTCCCCACTGCCCTGATAAGGCAGGCGAAGGGTAGAGAGAAAGGAAGCGCTCTTTCTGTTTTACTGATAGCAGCTTTTTCATACCACAGAGGACACGTGGGCCCGTCGTTATCTGCATGTGGGTGCCGAAGCAAGCCGGCTGTGTGGAACGCGATTCCAGTTCCTTCCCGTCCTGTCCGGTGCCAGCGCGTGGCTTGGGGCAGCTGACGTCGGGGATGTGCTGCGCTGGGCTCGGCCGCTCAGCCGCAGCCCGCAGAGCTCGGCAGCTTCCATTGCACCCCTGTATCTCAGGGGGAGGCATCGCCTTGGGTGCGGCTGGGGGCACAGCCCCTGCCCCGGCCCGCAGCAGGGATGCGTGCTCCCCGCTGTGTCTTGAAGCTGCGAGAACGGCTTGCTGGGTCATCAGAGATGGTCATCACCCATCAAACCCAGGGTTTGTCTTGAGCAGTACGTAATTCCGTGTGCCTTGAAAAGCCTGTATGGAAATGGCAAACTCACAGCCGCGCTTCGAGGAATGCTGTCCGTACCTCCACAGGTTTGTGGCTGCCTCTGTGTCACCTGATGGATTTTGCTGCCATTAATTTGGCCAATTCCTTTCTGAGCCCATTCAGACTTCTAGTATTTGCGCTGTCCTGCAGCAGAGCTCCACAGACTAACACTGGCCACAGAGAGATGCTTCACATCTCGTTTGTGTGGAACCTGCCTCCAACTTAATTTGGCGCCCATCTGGTGAGGCAGGGGAAGGCCAGGGGTGTTCTGTGTCTGTCACCGTACACGGCAGAGAGCCGCTGGGCTTTGAATTAACCATGGGGTATGAAATCCCCAGACAGACTCAAACTACTGTTGGGATCCTGCTGGTTGAGCTTGCTGAAGATTCAGGGTCTCCCCTCTCGAAAACCAGCAGCTCCCGCTGCAGTGCCAGGAGCAGTGAGCATCATCCTCCAGGACAGGGATTAGTGTTTGCTGGGATGTGTCCCAGCCCGGTCCCAGGTTTTACTGGGGTGTCCAGGAGGACGTTGTGGCTTCGTGTCCAACATGACCTTTCTAAGGAGATGGTTTAGCAACTGCAGGGAAGAATTGTAGTGGGGGGAGATGTGTGATTCCTAGCTCTTCCAGGTGTCTTTGTTTCGTTTCTTATCGTGGCAGGGCTGCGGGGGACTCGAATGCTCTGGAAGGACCGGAGGGTGCTTTGATGCCTGGCTAGGAAAGCAAGCCAGTGCGAGGCAGAGCAAGCAAGCCTGGGGCTGAGACACTGTTTTTAATATATTTACACATTTTGGGCCAATCCCAGCGCTGTGCCCGACGCCTTGCTGGGGCGAGCAGCACGAGGATACACACAGTTTTCTGGTGATAACTCGGAAAGGCTGGCAGGGGTTGTCCCTGTTTCTCACCATGGGTGACAAGGAGCTAACCCGATGTGAATGCACCAAACCTGGCGCAGTGGCCCGCAGCGGGGCAGGAGGCGGTGGGCAGCACGGGACACGGCAGGGTGTTTCTCACGGTGGACAGGCTGCGGTTTCCCAGGGACGATGGCAGAGGACAGGAGTGACCCTGGGGTGTGGAGCACCCCGGGACGCTTCTGCAGCCCCCTCTGCACTGCCCAGCATTTGCAGCATGGGATGGACCCCTGGGTGACTGCAGGCACCTGGTCCCTGCAGCACCCTCCGCACCCAGGGGCTCGGCCTTCGGCACCTGTGTGGGCTCAGGTGCCGCTTACTGGTCCTGACAGCAGGAGCGTTGCCTTCGGGGGACAGGTTCCGGCAAGCCCAGGGCTCTGCGTGTCTCTT